CATTGATTAAATCTCTACAGTTTCTCTACATTTAAACACTTTGGAAAGGTTTCTAAAAAATATTCTCACTCTTCCGAGAAGCAATACAGACAAAACAACAATTTTAAGAACGAAAATATATTACTATGGCCTATTTCTCATACAGAATACAAGTTGGTAAGCACGTTTTTGTTTTGTTTTCCTGGTTCAAAGAAAAGAATGACTCCATGCCGTCAGCATGCATGTTATATGTGATATATACACATAAACATTTATATGACTTTTGTGCTGATTGAATTTCGGCTAAAAAATAGCTTATTTTGTTGTTTGTCTGCAGATATGGATAAATTTTTTAAACTAATTTAAATGGGTAAATTGGTTGAGACTGACTTTTTAGGCTTAACTTTTTAAACTTCTCGTTAATTTTTAAAATGAATGAACTTATTACAAGACAGAAGTTCATAAGAATAACAAATTAATCATCAAAGACATTTTCCATTGAAAGGTTTTTTGTTTATGAGAAAAAACTTGTGTTCTCGAGAAATACTTAAGAAAACATCAATAACAATGAGTGTTACAGATTGTGGTCATTGATTTTTTTGTTGCGAACTCCTTTTAACCTAATGCATTCGTAGAAAAATGATGTCTTAAGATCAACTAGGATGTATAATTAATTCTTTTCCAATGTTACCTGGAATTATTTGTAACAGTTTTCATTTTATTGAAAGATTTTTTTTCCAAATTTAGCCAAAAGTTTTATGGCACTGGCAGATGTTATATAACATTTTTTAAAAACAGTTCTTTAGATTGCATTGAATGTGGAATAGTTTTATTTTCAGTTAAACGCCTATTAAAAAACTGAGATGACTTTGATCGCACATTCTTAAGAAAAACATGAAACTACAGTGGTTCGATGTTTTGACAATCTCTTTAGTTTGTTGTTTCTGATAACACTGGATATTTTAATCTCAGTGGAGATGTTAAAAAACAAGTCAAATCAGGATCGGACGTAGTTTTTGACATTTTTTATTTCATCAAATTAAAACAAAGAAATCAAAGAAATGATATCAATGAAAAAAAATGTTCTGGAAATCGAAAAGAAAATATGGTTTTCTTGCAATGATTACCAGTGACAATTGTAAAAATTAGAGCAAATTTTAAATATTTTAGTACATGTAAACTCACATTCATATTACAAATCCTAAAAAAAAACTTAATCCGGATTAAGCCTTGCCAAGATCTACGTAAGTCGGAGTCAGATGATTTTATTTTGTTATAAACACAAACTCTTTTAAGATTTTGATCGCCTCAGTTTTTTTTTGGCACGCGTATGTGAAAAGCAATGACATTTGGAACATTTTTTTGTAATCTGCAGTATAAAATTGATAGCAAGCAAAAATTCTGGCTGCAAATGTAGATCTAGTAACAGATGACACCGTAAAACTGTTAATTAAGGTATTTTTTAGACATACTACTCAGCCAATGGCATGATCCTTTGATTTGAATTTACAATCGCGCAAGCAGAGCCAAAGATCTTTCTTACTTCTCTCCTCTACTCTCCGTGTAAAAAAGTTATTTCCCAATTTATTTTACTTTATTTTTAAAGTTTTAAGTGGAGTGAATATGGAATTTTGATTTTAATGAACAACGAAAGTTGCAGAGGTATGTTTTTTTTAAAATACTTCAAATAAAGTTTCAAAATATCTTGAGGTAAAAAATGTTTCGAATAATGAGAGAAAATTATAACAAATCTTACTCACATGTCGAAAATAATTAAAAATTTGTGAAAAGTATCCACTTCTTTCGTGAAGCAGTCTTTCAAAATTTCATTTTAGAGAAATAATCTCCGACAAGGGCAAAAACTGTTACGACAGACATGCAGGGTGTAATTATAACAATGTTTTAAACAATTGTAAATGAAAACAATACAAAATTACAAAACACAAAGCAAAAATATTACAACTTGCTGATTGTTTTTTAAAAAAGCAAAAGATTTATTGGACAGGGGTAGGGTATGTTTGTTTCACGACTCTGCTATTCATATCTGTTTTGGGATTTGTGTCCAACTACCTCAAACATGCGCCATCTGCTGAAAGAAAATATTTCATTACAAAAATGTCATAAAAAAAATTTTCAACCAACATTTATTTGACATCTCATCAAAAAGCGTTTTTTTTCGAGATATACATTTTTGAAAAAAAAATTGTGACATTTCAATTCTTCTAATAGTTGCAACAAACATATCCTAAACTCATTTACCAATGTTATAAATGAATGTAACACTTTCTTATGTAAAAGGTATTATTATACCTTTTAATTAACTCAAACTAAGAGGTCACACACACATACACACACACAAAGACACATACATACGCACAAATATTCACACACACCCACACACATTCACACAAAATGTAGCTACACACACAGGAACACATTCACACCCACTTTAGACACACACTTAAATTCATACGCACGCACACACACAAACTCACACACGTGTCGTTCGTACATCGATACACACGACACACACACATATACACACACACGACACACATACACACACACACATACACACACACATACACACACACATATACACACACATACATATATATACAATTTACACAGTCTACTTGTTGAAATCAGATGATGAAAAATTTGAAATGAAACAGTCTAGGTGGACATTTCTCGGTATGGATTTGTATTTATGTGATGAACGTACACGAGAGTTAATATGTATATATGTGTATGTGTTTGTTTGTGTGTGAGTGTGTATTTGTGAGCGTATGTATGTGTGAATGTGTGTGGTGTGTGTGGATTCATTTCACACAGTGGTGTAGCCGAAAATTTGTTGTGGGGTGGTGGGGGTGTGAATTTTCTAACAAAAAAGTGAGTGCCCTTTTTTTGCTTGTTGTTATCACTCAACTTTTAAAAATTTTGCTATTAAAAACGACGTTTTTGTACGAGATTTTATTTTTTTCATCCTTCCAAAAAAAATTTGAATCTGACAAACTCGTTGAATTTGTTAAAAAATGTAAGGCAATACTAAAAAATGTTTTATATATGAATTAATTTTAATGAATGAATAAATGAGTGAGTGAGTGAGTGAGTGAGTGAATGAATGAATGAATGAATGAACGAACGAACGAACGAACGAACGAGTGAGTGAGTGAGTGAGTGAGTGAGTGAGTGAGTGAGTGAGTGAGTGAGTGAGTGAGTGAGTGAGTGAGTGATGAATGAATGAATGAACGAACGAACGTATGAATGAATGAACGACCCTATATACATATTTGTCTCGAGTCATCTTGTCAGTGTGTTTTTTGTTCTTCTGCTAGGTAAATATTATTTTAATTTTATAAACAATCATTTAACAAGTCGCATTAGAGTTACAAAGTCCCATCAGAACTTTTAATTTGAAAATTAGATAATAATTATAATTACTCGTCAGAAATAATTAAAAGTAGTTATGAAGTGATAATTATATGAACATTGGTAGCTATTATGTAGTAAATAATAAATTAAGCATACTTTTAAAGTATTTATTGAATAATTATAAAATAGTTATTGGTAATTTTTAAGTATAATAATTCTTAAAAAATTAAAAACAGTTTCTAGAATGACTGGATTTTAAAGAAAGACTAGATCGTTACAAGTAGGCACTGTTTTGTTGTTGTTCTTATTGATTAAACAACCTTATTTTATTAACTTTTCATTTTGAATTAATTTTATTAACAAAATAAATATTTCAATAATTAAAAATTTAAAAAAAAATTGTGTCATAGTTTGAAATGAATGTGTTCTTTGTGGAATTCAAAGTGTGTGTAGAATTAAAAATGTTTACAATTTTTCAGCCAATAAATCAGGTTGAAAATGTTTTCATTTAAATTTCATTTACAATAAAATCTAAATCTCTTAAACGTTTTACGACCTTCAGTTTTGAATTCATTACAGTTGAGTCTAACTAGAATAATTATTATTTGAAAAAACATCAAAAACAAATGTTAATAAAATGTTTGTTGCTTAACAAATTTGAAAAGATAGCACACTTGAATGGTAGTAATTAGACCAGATTAAAACTTTGTGACCAGTTCTATTTAGCGGATGAACAACAAATTTATGTTATTTTTTGGCGTTTTATTAATATTGTTGTTTTATTTAAACATTACTACGATTTTTATAACCACTGGCATGATTGCAATCATAAAATTAACGTCTATGGCATCGCTCAGCTAGTGTCTTCGGCGTCAGAAGAATATTCTAGGCATGCTCTTTCAGAAACCTTATGAAAAGATGTGAATGTCCTAGAATTGCTGTTTGTTGATGTCACGGAAAGTTGATTTATCTTTTTAAAACCTGACATCAAGAGCTTTTACAGAGACTGACATTCCAGTTTTCCACATCCTGCCAACTCCAATCCACCTCTTTTTTGAGAATATCAGGATGTTTAACATAAATAGTCGTGTCTCGTAATTCCAGAGTCTGTGTCACCAGTAGCAAGCCTCTCCTCTGACATCCACTCTGCAGTCATGTTGTGTTAGGACGTTCGATTTGTTCATTTTAAATTATTCACTCTTAACAGACTGCCAGATGAAAAAGTGTTCAACATGATGGGAACCGTTGAAATGAATTTGCTTGACCGGTCAAGGAATAGTTGTAATCACTACAACGAAACACGTCATCATCGTCATCAACAACATCGTCATCAACGTCGTCTTCATCACTATCATCTTCATCACCATCATCATCAGTCTAACTTTCTTCATTTCAATTGCAAACAAAATGACAAGACCAAAAAATGTCACCAAGAGCCAGTTCTGAAAACTTTAAACGATTCAAAATACATTGATGACAATTACGAAAATATCGTGAAAAATAAAATTGTTGACGGTAAGTTGGGTCAAAATTTGAAGCCTAATCAGAGTCATCATCGCCGACATTTCTTTCACCATCATTTCAAACAATCGTTGTTTCAAGGGTCCTCGTTATCGTCAAAACATTCCCTCATTAATGTCATCATCATGTTGATCACACTTGTGATCACACTACAGAGATGTAATGCTACCGACATTAATGAGACTTCCAACAACAAAAACAACATTCCAAACAACTATCTGAGCAACAATAACAGTAACACACATCTAAACAACAACAACAACAACACAAACACTTATCTTATAAACAACATCAGTAACAACTCCATCCATCCCATCAACGCTAACATTACAACAACGAAAAACGTTCATAGCAGTAACGGATATGTAACAGACATCAACAACAACAACCGCAGTAACCGCATTGATGTCACGACACAACAACCACAACAATCACCAACGACAACTTTGATTCCATCAGCAGCCAAGCCATCGCCAACAACATCATCATTACCAGCACCAACATCATCATCAACAACAGCATCATCGTCAACACCACCACCACCATTACCAGCCAGACTACCACTGCCTAAGCCACCGTTCACCTGTCGCCTACCTGAAAGAACCTACAACTCAATGACGCTATTCAGCACGGCGTCATGCCACCTGTGTCACTTTCTCATCTTCTTCCACACTTACAACTTTTCAGAATTCGTCAAGGCCATCCTAGGGCATAAATCGGCCAGAATGAACAGCAAAGTTGTCGTCGGTACAAAAAATGAAAATATTTTCCGTATTAATAACTCCAAATCAATTGATTCAAATGACGACGACAACAACAACAACAACACCAAAAACAAAAACAACGACAACAACAACACCGACAGTACTTTCAGCAACAGCGCAAATTTAAAGTACAAAACCGACTCGGACGTTAAACAGAACACGTCCCCTTCAACACAACAACATCTTTCATCATCATCATCATCGTCCTTCTTATCGATGTTTTCGTCTCACACCACCTCATCTTCCTCATCACTATCACCATTGTCATCCTCATCTTCATCACCATCATCTTCTTCATCACCATTCTCATCTTCATCATCATCTTCATCATCATCGCCATTTTTAGAACCGTTAAATAAATCATCGTCAATGAAGAAGGACAATGTAATGGATATAAAAGATGAGCCAGACAAAGCAGCAGACGTGTTCAAAATTGGGTCAGCCGTCATCAACCTGACTGAGGCATACGAGTTGTACAAAAATATGACCAAAACGCTTTCAATCCCAACGTATGTGAGGATGTTCTGCGACCTACTCCAAATAGGAGGCGAACATTGCAACATTTGGTTAGACTGCTGCCAGGCTGCCGAGAGATGTTGCAGAGACGTCATCTTGCCTAACTCCAACAGATCCTTTTACGCTAGACTGAATGACTTCAACAAACAAAATCACAGCAACAGTAGTAGTAGCAGCAGCAGCTACAACAACTTCGACGACAACAACAAATGTCCGAGCATTTGGGATGGACTTATGTGCTGGGACGAAGTAGCCATACCTCCAAATAATTCTGAAAGTGACACTGGCGACAACGACAACAACGAAATCGTCGTCCAGCAGCACTGTCCTCACTACATTATAAATGTCCAGGCCGGTTAGGTTCCGTACCAACAAATTCATTGTTAATATTTCTCAACAAGAGTGATTCCGCAAAAGTTTATTTTATAAATAAAAAATTAAAATTTCTATCTACACGCCATGGGATAACACATTTTATCGTAAGTTTGAGAAAAAAAAGTTAACGAAGTTAAAAAAAAATTTCGGACATTTATTTTCTTTATAAAATTATTTTCAATTTTGGTTTATTTTTTATCCTTTAAAAACTTTTAACTCACTTACTAAGTCAATAATTAATCATTATTCTATTCATTCGATTTATAAATCAACATTTCATTTTCCATTTTTCATTTGGATGACTAGACGATGTGATACGGTTAATGACGCCTACTTTTACGTGGCATTGAAGTTACTGGGTTCAAATGCAAATGAGGTCCTGATCTTTTTAAATTATTCTTTAGAGATCAGAATCTGACATACGCAGAAACTGTTGCAACCTGCAGGGCAATGATATGGAATGATAACGAATAATAAATAATTACGGTGTAGGAATGTTTAAGCATGAAAAATGGAAAATGAAATGTTGATTTATAAAACGAATGAATAGAATAATGATTAATTATTGACTTAGTAAGTGAGTTAAAAGTTCTTAAAGAATAAAGAATAAAACAAAATTGGACAAATGACAAATTTTTGAGGAGTGTTAATATATTTAAGGTGTCTTGTGACGAAGCACAAAGCTTCAGTTGGCTTTTCTAAATGCGTTGTAATTTATTTCTACAAAAAAATGAAGGTTTCATGGTAGAGAAATTAAATTATGTTGTATTGTTTCGCATTGTTTTGTTTAGTTTTGTATTTTATTGTATTGTATTTTTTGGTATTACATTATTGTATTTTTTGGTATTACATTATATTGTATTGCGTTGTATTGCACTGTTTTGTATTGTACTCTTCTATAAAGATAACAACGACGACAACAACAACAACAACGGCATACACACACAACAATAAACACGCAAACAACAGACAATCCGCGCACAACTGTTACTCATTCTCTTGGGAAAAACCCCTTTCACACTATCACCACCTCACCCTACCACATCACACTCCTACTACACACCAACCACACCACACCAGCCACACCACACAACACCAACCCCACTAACCACACCAGCCACACTACACCACATTAGCCACACCAACCAGCCACACCAACCAGCCACACCAACCAGCCACACCAACCACAGGACATTACACCACACCAACCACACCAACCACACCAACTTCACCACACCACATAAACCACACTAGCTACGCTACACCAGCCACACCACACTACACCAACCACACCACAGGACATACGTATCGACACTGCAGACGGGATGGAGCCTGGAAGAGGGACAGACGCAACATGTCGAAATCAGATTATACCGAGTGCTACTTCTCTCCTGTACGTTATTATTATTATTATTATTATTATTACTCTTTGGGCGGCGTTGTGGCCTATAAGTTAAGGTCGCCTGGTGCTCTTTCGCAGTGCTCTGGTTCGAATACGACACGTATTCATTTGTGGTATTTGTTTGCTGTTGACTTCTCTGAACATTGGGAAAGTGCGAATTTACAGATATAAAGCAGCCTAATATAAGACGATGCAATGTATAATTAATCAAAGCATACAATACTTTGTATAATAAGAGCGAGGTGACTGGTTAGAAAGAGTCAAACAAATACTGAACACATATAAGAAGCCAGTTAAAGTCACCTATCATTATTTCATAGACATGAACAATTTTAAGTTATTTAACTTTGAGCGAGCGAATTCACAGAAACAGAAAGAATTCCCCCAAGAACGAACTATGTTGTTCCTTCAGTAACCGTTGTAGAATGGTGAAGAGCGAGCAGCATAACAATATATAAACATCATACATAGATTCAAAAACTACCATGTATAGATACGTAAACATCATGCATAGACACAAAAATGCCATACATAGATACATAACTACCAAACATAGATACATAACTACCAAACATAGATACACAAATACCAAGCATAGATACATAAATATTAAACATAGATACATAAACACCAAACATTGATACATCATATCACTAGCATAGATGCGAAAATGCCATGCATAGATACATAAATGCCAAAAATAGATACAAAAATCACCAGCGCAGCATAGATGCAAAAATGCCATGCATAGATACCTAAACACCCAACATAGATACAAAAATCACCACACAGATGTTTTGGCTGCGCACCTTCATCCCAATGGCTGTGAACGTGTTGAGCATGGTCACTTTGATACCCAGCATCATACTGTTCTCCGTATTCAGGTAGTGATGATGATGATCTTGGTGGTGTTGATGATGATCTTTGCGGTGTTGATGATGATCTTTGCGGTGTTGATGATGATCTTGGTGGTATCGATGATGATGTTGTTGTTGATGATGATGTTGTAGATAATGATGATGATGGTTATGGTGATGACGGTTTGGATAACGACGATGATGATGATGGTCTGGATGATGATGACGACGATGATGATGATGATAATGATGAAGATAATAAGGATGATGACGATGATGATGACGAAGCGGTTGAGATTTCCATTAATGAAAACACAAACCTTCAGAACGTAATTTTCACCTTTCATGAATGATGAAAATTAAGAAGACAAAACAACATTTATATTTGACAAAAAATAAATTATAATCCAAAAATTGTAATATTATAAATAAATATATAATACAATGTAATGTAATGTAATATGATATAATGTAAGATAATGTAATGTAATACAATTCAATACAGTACAACACAATACAATATAATACAATACAATACAATATAATGTTAATATAATATAATATAAGTTAATATAATATAATATAAATAATATAAACTACACAATGACACAACTCTACTTAGCCATAGCATTTAGAAACTTCACCACCCCCACCACCACCATCACCATCACAAAGTAAACCACGTCGTTTCTCATAGCAACTGCTAATACCCCCCATCCTCTCATGTCAAAATCATCGTTATTAGTTTCATTACTTTGAATGGAGGGGAGATGGAAATGGAGATGGTGAGTGAGTGAGTGAGTGAGTGAGTGAGTGAGTGAGTGAGTGAGTGAGTGAGTGAGTGAGTGAGTGAGTGAGTGAGGGAGGGAGTGAGTATGTGAATGATTGAATCAATCAATCGATCATTCAATCCATCAAACTTCTTTAATGACATGTTTCAAGATGACAAAGCGTTCAAGGAATCACACCATACAATCACTTTTTCATCAACATCAATGAATATTCTTTTTAAAACTGATAATGCTGGCTCATTAAAAATCTACCATAAGCAAATTTTTCCTCTAAAATCATGAATATTTTCTCAAAACTGATGATGCAAACACTTTAAAAACCCATCATATGCAAATTTTCCAATTTTTTTCAGTCAGGAAAAAGAAGTGGAACGCGTTTTTTTTGTTTTTTAGCGCTGGCTGGCCATCTCGAGTTACTCGCACGCACGGTGAGCCAATGAGTGAAGGCCATCAAATAAACTTCCTGTTTGGTAGAAAATTTTCTAAAGTACATACAGTAATGCGATGTTAACGTGTGTGTGCGTGTGTGTGTGCGTGCATGTGTGTGAGTGTGTGTGTGTATGTTTGTGTGTGTGGAGTGTATAACGTTGTTGTGTGGAGTGTATGACAGTTTTTAGCTTTTAGGTGCCTGATAACTGATAATAACCGCATCCAAGTCCCAACTTAACTTTATAACAAGTTCTTAAACGGTCAAATGATACAATGGATTGATATAACAAAAAAACGAAGTGACTTGAATAATTTTTACACAGCTGATGTTATCTCCACAAACATTTAAAATCTTCAACCAAATAACAAACACTTGAATGTTTCACTTTTTACCAAGGAGGAGCATGAACAACATCATCACTTTCATTCATTCGCCAACTCAACTAACATCTCAACGGTCATTGTCACTACTTAGTTTTATAAAGAAATTTAACTTAATCAACTTGGTCTAACTTGAGAATTTTATCTTTTTCAATCCCCATTTTCGCACCATATCGTGCGTGTTAACGAATCTTCAAATTTACGATACCGACTTAATTTTAAAAACTCTAACGTCTAAATTCTCACCACAATGTCGCAGAGACCTCCGTAGGCAGTTGCGCATCCAGTTGCACATCAACCTGTTCGTCTCTTTGCTGCTGGGCTGCGCTACCTCCATGGGCTCCGGTCTCATCATTGAGAGGAGTCTCAAGGCCAACAGCTTCGAGGAGACCATCATCCACAACAATCCTGTTGGTCTATGTGTCTCTAGACATGTTGCTGTTGCTGTTGTTGTTGCTTTGTAGTTTTTGCACTTCATTATATTATATTATTTTATTTTTTCATAAATAATTTTTCGCTAGCGTTGTTATATAAAATTTGAAATTCATTATAAAATGATTTGTTGTTTTTATGTTTTTTATTTCATGTTATATTTGATTCGTTGCTGTTGTGCTGAAAAAATAAATTTATTTGTCAAACAAATTCATTCACGAAAGACTTCATCAAGACCACACAAGGACAGGTTCAACTCTCAGCTAAAATCCTAGCACATGAAAATGAGATTCGATTTCTTAGTTAGATGAGACCGAGATTTCTAACAGAGTTTAAATCAAAATATATCCAAAAAAACAAATCAAAACATATAAAAAAACAGTTTTAAATAAAAAATTAATAAATAAAAATATTAAACTGATCATTACAAACATGTGGTTTAATTGATATATGGTTCGAGATTGTCGGACAAACACGTAGGTGAAGAATTATGGAGCGTTCACAAAACACGGTTAACAAAAACGTCTCAAATTGCTGCTTGCGTGCCATTCCGCCCGACAGATTTTATTTTCAACGATTTACAAATACATTATTTCCACTGCTTTTTTATTTTTCTCTGAGAATTTTTTATAGTAAAAAAGAAATCGAATTAATAAATGATAAAACAAATAATTTTATTTTTAAATAAGTTTATAAGTTTGTTGTAATGTGTTGCTACTGTGAAATTTGTAAGTTAATTCATTCTCTGCAATTGTTGGAGTTTGAATTTTGTTGAAATAATAAAAAGTAATAATATTTATTAATATTTATTTATCAATTATTCATTCATTTTTCAAATCATTTCGTCTACACATTCAATAATTTTTTAAAATCAACTTTTATGCCATTTCGACTTTTCAATTTTGAAATGAAACTCGTTCTTTAAAAAAATTTTAATTGATGGAAATTTTCAACTTTCCAGCTAATCAGACGTTTTAAGTAAGTCACATTTTATGAGCTGAGAAAATTCCATTTGAAACATTTTATAATCCAGTGTGTGTGTTTGTGTGTGTGTTTGTGTGTGGTGTGTGTATACATTTTATGATCATTTTGCTGGTGGCTGGTTGGTTTGTTTAGTTTGTTGGTTTATGTGTGTGTGTGTGTTTGTATGTGTGTGTGTGTGTGTGTGTGTGTGTGTGTGTGTGTGTGTGTGTGTGTGTGTGTGTGTGTGTGTGAGTGAAAGTTTTGTATGAATATGTTTGTATGTGTGTGTTTGTAACTTTAGATGTGTTTCCTACATTTTTTAAATTTTTAAAAATATGTTGTTGCAGGAAGATGTGTGTGTGGAGTTGACAACTAAGATTCAACAATGTTTGTGTGTGTATGAATGAGTATACGTGTTTGTGTGTATGTATGTGTATTTTTGTATTTATACGTTTGTTTGTGTGTGTGTGTTTATGCGTCTGTTTGTTTGTTTGTGTATGTGCGCATATGTGTTTGTGTTGGTGATTTCGAGAATATATGTAATTATATGTGTGTGTACATGAGTATGATTGCGTGTTTATGTGAAAATGTGCAAGAATGTGTGTGCGTGCGTGTGTGTGTGCGTGTGTGTGCGTGTGCGTATGTGTGTGCGTGTGTGAAGAATATGACCGAGAAGATTAGGCAATTACTTTTGGCAAGAAAATATTTCCAGGAATCATCAATTAGTTCGTGCACCGCTGAGTGATTGATGAGTTGGAAAAGTAAAAAAATATACAAATAAATGAATGAAAGAAAGGAGAAAAGATGGTAAGAAAGAAAAAAATGAATGAATGAATGAATGAATGAATGAATGAATGAATGAATGAATGAACAAACAATCAAACGAACAAACAAACCATTTAGAGAAAAATCAAATATAGTTATATACGGACGATTGGTCAAATTTAGCAGCGAACGAATGAACAAATATTAAAAATGCAGACCTACTGTTTGTGTGTTTGATTTTAATAAAAATCGATTAAATATATGAATAAACCATAGACACGAATAAATAATTCAACATATGATGATGATGTGTTGACATCGAAACACAGGTTTGGTGCCGGATACACACACTCATCCAGCTGTACTCCAAGAACTCATCCTACATGTGGATGTTTTGTGAAGGTTTGTTTTGCCATTCTTATCAAACATTGATGACTATAACATTAACATTAACACTATAACATTATTGAACATAACATTAATGAATGAATATAAGATAATGAATATAAGATTAATGAATATAACATTAATAAATATAACATGAATGAATATAACATTAATGAAAATAACATTAATGAATATAACATTAATAAATATAACATGAATGAATATAACATTAATGAACATAACATTAATGAACATAACATTAATGAATATAACATTAATGAATATAACATTAACGAATATAACATTAATGAATATAGCATTAATGAATATAACATCAATGACTACAACATTGATGAATATAACATTATTGAATATAACATTACTGAATATAACATTAATGAACATAACATTGATGAATATAACATTAATGAATATAACGTTAATAAACATAACATTAATAAATGATACCTAACATAAAAATGGGTACTGACTGATGGGAATATTCCTATTTTTCAATCATTTTACCATATTTTCAAATTTGCAATAAGAACATATTTTTATGATTTTTAAACGTCGTCATCAAATTATTCTTTCGTCACTGCGCTTACAAAAAAATTTCGTATAAAAATTTATGATTAAAAGCCGAAGTTAAAACTGAGAGTAAAAATGTGAGATGATTGAAACTAAATGGAACTAAATGGAACCAATGGAACCAAATGGAACTACATAGTTTCATATTTGATTAGAGCGATGAATGAATGAATGGAACCGAGCGGATGTGTACTCATTTGAGACGGCAAGATTGGTCCAGCCGGCGGCCGGCTTTCAATTTTCAAAACATTCACAAAGTTTCATAACACAATTTCGAATGTTTTTTTCAATCTCAAATTGGTAATTAAATTTTCGCCGCGTGAAAAATTGACGCAATTTTGAAAGGCAATTTCAGCGAATTAAATTATAAAAAAATTTAAATTTTGAGAATGAATTTTTATGTCAGATGTCAGTTTCATTGAATGCACGTACGTGCTTCTTGAAACGCAATCTATCTTTAGAAGGTCTTTAGGAGAACAGTTTTAATTTCAAAGAAACTTGAAGTTTTTTCTTCTATTTTTGATGAAATGTGGTGAACAATTTCTCTTTGTTTGAGACCTAAAAATAAATTCCGTGAAAATTCACATAAGCCTAAACAAAGCATCAAGTGGCGGATCTAAGTGGGAGTTCAGGGCGCACCGAGTTCACGGTGACGGATCTCAGGGCGCATTCCCACTAAACCATGAAAGAGAAAAATACGGAATATCCCGTGTTAAATCAAGTAGTAAACTAAAACTAACCAAAAGAGTTATTAACTTGAGAACTTTAAAAACCATTCCCCGAACTGGAATGGGAATTAGCAAAAAAGTCACAAAATGTTCACAAACAAATCGAGTCTGGTAGAAAAGATAAATGAATGATTTGAAATGACTTGCAAGCCTATCAGCAAACTTTACCTCTGAGTGTCTAACATCATTCTTGCTGATTGCATGTAGCACTGAGAAGGGTATTCAGTAACTGAAAGCTTCAACTTTTCAATTTTTGGTTGAGTTTTTTTTACGTAGATTCAAATTTTGATTATGTTTCGTGTTGCTTAATAAAAGTATTTGCCGTATCTGTCAGAAAAGTCAAAAGAATTAAGCAGCGTGCATGCGATTTAACTTTGTTTCAGTGTTCTGCTTACATTAAAAGAGATGCAAAAGTTGACGAGCTATGAATGGATTGAGCTGGCGGTGGCGAACAATTGCATTGTATTTCAAATCCAAAATTCCCCAAATTTTTAATTAAAACATGAATTCATTTCATTCACATTATAACGCAACAGAAAATTCAAGCGAAATTTTGTCACGTTACAAAAATGTTGTAACAATAAATAAATCATAGTAGAAGTCGTAGTAATAGTAATAGTTAGTTGCAGTAGTAGTTGAAGTAACAGAAGAAACAAAAGCAGCAGTAGTAGCAGCAGCAGAAGCAGTAGTAGCAGTAGTACTAATCAAAAAATAAAATAACTTTGACAGAAACTTGAACAAAATTATGAAAATGAAATCTTTATGAAACATCTTTCATAGGTGGCCACCGTCAAAACAACGAAGATATTATATTATAGCATTATACTTCGAGATGGTGTGTATGTGTTTGTATGGGTACGTTGATTCGGGCTTACTTACGTACGCTGTGTGGTTTTTACCAACACTTATAAGCATTCTTGCAAAAAAAAACTGAGAAAAATTTTTTAAAATGAACCTACACGATACGCGAAGAGCCACTGGAATGTCGCTTGTTTCTCTTGTCACTTCGGAGTGCTGGCTTGTTGCAATTACTGTTTCAAGTTAACAGGAAAAAACTTTTCAATTTGCCGAAAATATTGAAAATAAAAAATAAAACTACAATTATATTTCAAAAAAAAGCTATATTTTAAAAATGCTAATTACTAAGAAAAAGCTATATCTTAAAAATGCTAATTACTAAGAGGAAAATATTTATAATTATAATAAAAGCAGTAGTAGTGGAAGTTGAGTTTCAAGTTACTGGAAAAAATAATTTGTTGGGATAAAACTGACGTTAAGTGATGTGATGAAAAACATTGTCAACACTGTTGAATGTACGTACTGAACAATGATGGTATCAGAGTTAATTGGAAGAATCAGTTAAGTTACGTGTAGAATCAATCAATCAGTCAATCAATCAGTCAATCAATCAGTCAATCAATCAGTCAATCAATCAATCAATCAATCAGTCAGTCAATCAATCAATCAATCAATCAATCAATCAATCAATCAATCAATCAATCAATCAATCAATCAATCAACCAACCAATCAATCAATCAATCATTTTCCAGGATTGTACTTGCACCTGCTACTGTCTAGGTCGTTCGTTCCCAGATTCTCCAGTAAGGTGTTTCTAATCGCCGGATGGAGTGAGGACATCTTTAGAATTTAAAATTTTCATTCATTATAATGTCAAGGTGATCAAGGTCACGGCCAAAAGGTCAAGGTAGTAAAGGTCAAGGTGATAAAGGTCAAGGTGGCGAAGATCAAGGAGGTGAACGTAAAAATCTTACATCAAGTATTGTGAAAACGACTTCACATGTACATACAGGCTAATGTCTACAAATTATTTTTTAATTATTGAAACTGGAAGGTCATAAAATGTAATTAAAAAGCAAAAAAAAAACCCATCAACGGAAACAATAACGTTACAGAAATAACGGACGTAATAACAGTGGTCTCAAAAAATAGCGCAACCAACAGGTTCAATAGTTTGAAGAGCATATCAGAAAGAAATCTACATACTTACAATCTTTAAACAGCTTTGTTTGCATATGAAGAACGATCAAACATAAACATCCTAAATAACTTTCGCAAAGTTTATTAAAAACATGTTGACCTTAAATGTAAAATAAAGAGTTATTGTTGAGAATAACCATAACACTATAACGTATCAACGAGAGAGAGAGAGAGAGAGAGAGAGAGAGAGAGAGAGAGAGAGAGAGAGAAAGGAGAGAAAAAAAGAGAGAAAAAAGAGAGTAATAACAACTAATAACCAAAAGTAATAAGAAGAAGGTAGAAGAAAGATTAACGCGTTTTTTTTTATTAATTATTGACTTTTCACAGTATACAGTGACAACAGAATGATTATTAATTACTAATTAATTTAATAATTTAAAATGACATCAAATTAATTATTATTTAATAAATAATTATCACATAATTATAACTAGTTATTGATTAATTAAATAATATAAAAATCAACTTCATCCATTTAGTTGGTCCGCTGGTCCCGACACTCACCTACGGAAGCATTCGTATATTCATTCAAGACGATGAGTGAGATGTCAAGATTTTATTGATTTTTTTTTGTCTTCAATCATAACGGCATCTTATCAACAATTAGAGAACCTTACAAAATCAAACTTGGTGGTGTAAAAAATTTCGAGAGTACATTTGTAAAACTTTTCAAAATTTGTTTATTGATAGAACTGATGTTAACATTTAAAACAGGCATCGTACATCAACCACTAGCGAAAATTTTTAAAGGATAATTTTAAAATATTATATAATTTTTTGCTGAATAATAACAGTGAAGGAGGTATTTTTGGCGGGACTAAGGCTAACTGTTTTGACTCTTAAGAATAAAGTTATGTTAATTTTTGAAAAAATTCTTCTTTTTTCGTGCCTTATTCTTTCAAGTCATTGTCGACCATCGACCTCCCCAAAACCCGATCTTTAACACTTAGTAGTTGTTGAAATGTGATGATACTCAACAAGTGACACAAGGACTTCACAAATGTTGTTCGTTGTTGACCGCGATCTCCTTTCTCTGCAACATTTCCAGTAGTTGTTAGATTTTCCATTCTTTCCTTCCGCATGATGTGATCAAAAAACTTTAACTGCCCCCGTCGGATTATCAGTAGTAGTTTCCTCTTTTCATAACCGGACTGTTTTAATACATCCTCATTCTAATTTGAAGTATGAGAGGTCCAACAAATTTTCATAATTCTTCCAAAAAACCACATTTCAGCAGGGTTAATCTTTTTTACCATTTCTGTAGAGATTGTCCAGGACTCAGAGCCGTAAGTTAGCACAGGAATAATGTAAAATTGGTTGGCGCTTCTGCAAAAAATTCCTAAAAAAATACGAAGAAAAATAAAATTAAGCATTTATAATAAAAATAATAACAATAATAACAACAATTAATTATAACAATAATAATAATAATAGTGACCAGAAAATAAATCATTTTGAAATAATTGCTTTGCATGCATGAAATCTTCTTGGCAGATGTTGGATGAAAGCAGTAGCACCTCACATTTGGATCATATACACCCCCAACCTCTGCTGCCTCCTTGTGAGTGGATGGTGGGGGAGGTGATTTCAATCAATCAATCAATCAATCAATCAATCAATCAATCAATCAATCAATCAATCAATCAATCAATCAATCAATCAATCAATCAATCAATCAATCAATCAATCAATCAATCAATCAATCAATCAATCAATCAATCAATCAATCAATCAATCAATCAATCAATCAATCAATCAATCAATCAATCAATCAATCAATCAATCGATCAATCAATCAATCAATCAATCAATCGATCAAACAATTAATCAAACAATTAATCAAACAATCAATCAATCAAACAATCAATCAAACAATCAATCAATATAACAATCAGTAAGCATAATTATCGCCATTAAAATAATAATTACCACCATAATCAACATCTCAATCAGTATCATCATCACCACAAGAACACCATCACTATCACCAAAAACATGATCTTCATCATCAACAACAACATGGTCATCACCATCAACAACAACATGGTCATCACCATCAACAACAACATGGTCATCACCATCAACAACAACATGGTCATCATCATCAACAACGATATCATCAACAACAACATGATCCTCATCATCATCACCGACAACATGATCATCATCGTCATCAACAACAACATGGTCGTCATCATCATCAACAATATGATTATCATCATCACCAGTTGAATGTAGTATTCCTGGCAAACATTCTTCGGATCCTGGTGTTCCAGCTTCAGAGCCACCCGCACGAGCCAAACAATTTCAGGTAAGCCAATCAAATCATCTAACTAACTAATTAATTTGTCATTAATTTATTAAAGGTTAAAGGTTAAAAGGTTAATCTCTCTTTCACACACTCACTCAATCACTCACTCACTTTCTCAATCACTCACTAACTCATTCACTCGCTCACTCGATCGATCAGGGAGATAGAGGCAGTTTCTTCGTCCCGATTAACCTTTTACAAAACGCACTTGATAAAAATTAGCCCAAAAACAATATAAAATTTTTTTCAAAAATGTCCTACGCCTCTAAACCGCCCTGCAAACCCAAAACACGACAGACGCGCTCTGAAGGCTACGTGCATGTTGGTTCCCCTGTTCGGCCTGCACTTCATCTTCACCCTCAGCAGACCAAAAAGTACTCATCCCGAATTTATCAACAACAGCGGACTCATTACGTACGACGAGTCAAAGTGGCACCACTACCACTACATGATCGATTCCATCATCAACTCACAGGTTGGAGATATGGAGTGGTGGTGGGTACATGTGTGTGTGTCGTGTGTGTGTGTGTGTGTGTACGTCGTGTGGTGTGGGTAGTACAACAGACGAGTGTGTATTATGTGTATCGTGTCGTGTGAATGATGTTACAACATACTTTAAAATTAAAATTTTTCAATTAAAAACCAAAACTTCCAGGGTTTTGTAGTTTCCATCATCTACTGCTTTCTGAACGAAGAGGTATCTAATTAGTTTTTTAATTATGCAACTAGAGGTATCTAATTAGTTTTTTAATTATGCAACTAGAGGTATCTAATTAATTTTTTAATCATGCAATTAGAGGTATTTAATTAATTTTTAATTACTCAATCTCCGCATACCAATCAAATTATACCTGCTTTAACTAATGCACTAAAATGGTCCTCATGACAAATCCATCCACTAAATACATCCTTAAATTTTTCAAACCAGTTAATTTGAATGAATTATCAACTTTAAAATTGAATAAACAAATAAAGAATGATAAATTTTAAAAACGACGTTAAAAATTGTTGAGTAGCCGAAAATAATCAATTATATAAAATTAGGAGTAAGAATGCAATTATTAATGGATTGCACAGAAATTGCTTGCATCGTTCCTCTTCTGTGTAATCTTTTTGTCTTAAGGCATAACTCTTTCAAAATACCCATTCAAGTTTTTTATACTGAAAAATTTGAATGGACATCTTAAATTTGCGCTGAGAACAATTAGATGATAACGTATAAATTCATATAAATTTGTAAACACAACCAGGTGCTGGGCCACTTGTCGAGAATGTCTGCCTGCTTTCGTGGCCACCCGACCACCCAAATCTTCACGATGGCCTCTGACATCAGGAGAAGAAGTGACGCTGAATCGATCAGGAATGGATTCCACAGCAGCCATAAGGACGATAACAGGATGGCGGCGGCCATGGAGATGAAAGATCTTTAATCTTTCGTTGATGATAACCTCTGAAAAATATTTAAAAACTTGTAAATACCTATCAACCTACAAACATTTAATGATAGAACGACAACAGAGAAGAACATTTGAGAGAATGACGTCAGCGGGAAGGCATCCGGTGGAGAAGAGTGTCTGAAGAAAAAACATCCCTCCTTAAATGTATTTTTTGTTGACAACTTGATAATAATTTGTTTTTAATTGTAAATCAAACTATACTTTTCCAAAATAATACCTTTTAATAAATATATAATCACATTTTAACACCAAATGACTTTCAGCCTTTTTTCCAAAGGCACATTCATGGTTACGCCGCTACTCTATACTATAAACAATGGTGATTGACGATGACGAAGACAGTGATGACGATGATGATGGGACAAACTAGTAAAATTAACATGTCGAGTTATTTTTATTACTTTATAGGTTTGCTCAGGTTTCAGAGGTTCGTAATCTTGGCTTTTAAATTTAGTGGCCACCTGTTGATTGAAATATAAAATTGAAGTCAATGTAAAAGCTAGAACGAAATGTTCCTTACTTTGATTTCTACAACTCTGTTGTCGTTCGGCTTCTTCAAATCATACAGAACTTTTATACCTTTATATTTAATAAAACTACTCCGTTAACCATACCATATAAATAATTGTGGTGGTCTGTGTTGTTTTCATCATCAAAAATAATTACCTGACATCTGCATAAATTTTCCGTGCTTATCAACGGTCGAGTAGTTGGCCACAGAGTGTTCGAAAACTTCCTTTAAGACGACTCCTTTGACGTCTGCTAAAACAAATGGGTCGCTGAAAGGGAATGTGCTGACGATGTCGTTATACGTAACTACACCTGGTTTAAAGATAAATTCCAATAATGAGCTTATAAATCTCGAGATCAAGGCAATCCTTACAATCCTAAAATTAACATTGTCGAGTTATTTTTATTACTCATATTTAATTAATTTAAATTTTTACGTTTAAGATATTATTTTAGAAAAAATAATTCACCGATTTCAATATCTGGGACTAATCAGGTGAGATTAGGTGTGTGAGACCAAGTGCAGTCTGGATCTATGTAATAGATTTCAGTGTAACTGAAATGAGTGAGGATTGAAGAAGGTATTTTCGAAAAAATATTTTATGCATTGTTGGCCATTTTTTATTGATCTGCGCTAACAAGTTGGTTTATGTCAGTGGATTCGTTCGTAATGCGTGTCATTCAAGTCTCAAATGTGACAGATTTCACAAAGTTAAGTTTGACAATTTATTTGAAATGAATTTCGAAATGATAGATCCTACTTTGTTATAGAATGTTACGAAATAATTAGTCCTAAAGTTAGAAATATCTAGTTTAACAATATTGGTGTTACGCATTTGAAAGCAATGAAGTATCAGATACTAATCCAATTTTGATCGAAGGCCAGCAAGTTTCTTTAAAGTCAATATAGTTCTGGCTCGTCAGATTAAGCGCCACGATCTTTCTGAAGATCTTTATCTTGGGCTGATCAAAGCTATAAAATTTAACACAAAAATTTGTTTTGATCTAAAAGTATTTAAATATTAAACAATTGAAGTTAATATTTTAAAATTTCACGTAGTATTTAAATTTGTTTTGATCTAGAAATTATTAAAAAGTCAAAGCAAAAAAATTTTATTTAGTAATCAAATTTTGCTTTTTTCTTTTTGCTTTTAGAATACAAAGAAACCAAATATAACTTAGTTAAATTTACAAGCCTCACAACACATCAAAGTGAGGTCAATAAAAAAATTAGTCACGTGATATAAGGTCTAGCAAAGTCAATTTGGTTCATCCAACCCTATATAAAGCATTCCAAGTCGGTTGTGAGACATTCTCTTACGAAATTCGATACCGATCACACCAACAAATTTTGCACGCTTTTATAACGATCTTACGATTATAACGAATATTGATCTCCAACTTCAACTACATTATCCTTTAAACATCGGGAATTATTTAATCAATATTTTATTCGGAAATCTTCGAAATTTTGTTTTTAGAAAATCTAAAAAATGTCTCAATCTAATCAAGCATCCACAAACAACGGCATCAAAAGAACCATAGAAATTCCGGTAAGACACCCAAATAGTTACCAAAACCTGTTGAGGCATGATTTCGTTTTCTTGGTTGACGAGAACGACGAGGTTCACGGCAAAGAGGATGATTGTGGCATTTGTTCTGAGGCGCTGCTTGGTGCCTCCGACCTGGTTCATTTAAGAGAGTGTAGACACTGTTTCCACATGCAGTGTCTAAAACAACTCTATTTAGCCACAGCCGAATTGAAATGCCCGTATTGTAGGACAATATATAACATGGAGTACGGGGAATGCCCTGGTGGAGTTTTAATCATTGAAACCACCGAAGATGACGTAATGTTAGAATTTGCCCTGCAGGACGTCAATTGTAATTTGAAAATTAGGCGCAAAGAAGATCCGGATGAAACTGTTCTAAAATTACTTGAGAAAGCGTGGAGGAGGCAATTGATAACCGAAGAAATGTTATCATTCTTCGCAGAAAATAGTTACGAAAACAAATTAATAGCATCGACATTAGAAGAGTTGAACGTTTTCCCCAATTTACTCACAGAGCATATTGATGATGGTGACGATGAACTTCCGGCTGTTCAAAACCTCGACGATGCAAACGACGACATCTTCTTCAACACGTTTGACGACGATGAAGATGATGACGACGATGAAGATGACTACGAGGATTTATATGATTATGACAACGAAGATGATGTTGTCGATGAAAACAGCAGTGTGAACAACAACAACAACGATGATGATGAAGAGAGCGATGATGATGACAATACATGGTTGCTCACCATCAATGACATAACTCATCGAATTTTCAATTACGAAAATTTCTTCATCGCTGTGGTGGCGAATCATGAAGACGAGGACAAAAGCATAAATATAGAGGACGAGGAAGATGATCACACCGTCACAATTAACGGCCATTCATACAACCTCAACCAGTTGGATGATTGCAATGTTCAGCACTTCCAAGGGTATATTAATGGAGTATACATCGCATATTTCGAAGTGAAGGAAGATGTCAGTGCGGACGATGAGGTTAAAGTTAGACTAATGATTGAAGACATTACAGCAAGATTTTCATCCACTGAATAAGGAAAGCCGAACAACGTATCATACATAATATATTGTTAATATCATGTAAATTATTTTTTATTTTGCATGTGATATTTTCACCCTAAATATGTTAATATAAATTTCAAATTTAGAAAAGTTGTTTGAAGAAAATTATAATTATATTTAATAAGATAACGGCTACAATTTTTTTTTGCAAACTTCCATTGCGGTGTTTCGTCAAAGAATATGAATTGAATATAAATTTTAAAAAATGTAAACTAATCTAATTCATTTCCATACAAAAAATAAAATAAAGAGATTGAAGGTTATATCGAAATAATATCGAACTGCGATTTTGGACATTTTATTTTAAATTTACCGTTTTTCGAAAGACTGAAACTCCAAATACGAAGGTTAACCAGATTTAGCAGGCTTATTCTTCTACATAGAACGGGTTGATAGCAAATATTTAAAAGATTTTGTATTATTGTGTGTGGTGTTTGAAAAGAATTATGAAAATTAGTTGGACCTCTCATACTTCGAATGAGGATGTATTAAAACAGTCCGGTTATGAAAAGAGGAAATTACTACAGAAAATCCGAAGGGTGCAGTTACAATTTTTGGTCACATGATGTGGAAGGAAAGAATGGAAAACCTAACAACTACTTGAAAGATTGCAGGAAAAAGAGATCGCGGTCAACAACGAACAACATTCGTGAAGTCCTTGTGTCACTTGTTGAGTATCAGCACATTTCAACAACTACTAAGTGTTAAAGATCGGGTTTTGTGGAGGTCGATGGTCGACAATGACTTGAAAGAATAAGGCACGAGAAAGAAGAACGCCTATAAGCTGACCGCTCACGTGGTACCTTAAAAATGTTGTTTTGAACCAAAATTGGAATAATTGAAACTTTTATCAGTTGATAAAAAGTAGACTTAATTTGCAAAATTATTTGTTAGTTATTTTTTATTCTGATATTTGCAAAGGGATATAAGAGGTTGAAACAAAATCATTAAAATTAAAATAAACAAAAACCCATTTTGATAATTTAATTTTGAAACAATGTATCAACATCTGTCACTACACATATGTATACCCACAAAACAAGTCAGTTTTTGATTCTCAAGGTAGAAACTAACTTTCAACTATTTTATCACACGTATCATAATCAACTCGTAACGCAAATAAGCAAAAACCTAGGTAGAATACCGCGTATTAATAACAACAAATGCATTTAAATTTTTAATAAATATATACAATATGTATATATATAAAGGACTCCATTCAGATCATAACCATAACAAAATAAACAAACAGCTCTCGATAAAATATAGCAACAAATTTCTATCTAGTGCTGCTTTTGTTAAACCTACACCAGAGTTTTTAGTGTCATTCCGATTATGAGTATCATTTTCAAACACGGTCCCACTTTCTTTATCTTCCTCGGTACTGGTCCCGTCCCCAAATTCACCTCCGTGATTCACAAAGCGTATTCTCCCTTCGATCACAGCTCTTACTTTTGGGTTCAACTCAAAGTATTTCATTAAGATTTCTTGATCCAAAACATCTTAAACAAAAAATATTAATAAATAAAAAGATTTTATTGCGTAGATGTTCACCAAGATGTTTGTCACCATGATTAGGACGTACCGACGTCGATTTTAGTGCAGGAGTGCTTGCCGAATGACGTGTAACCATCTCCACCGTTGAAGACAAACTTGGCTAGGGCGACTTTATAGGTTTGCTCAGGTTTCAGAGGTTCGTAATCTTGGCTTTTAAATTTAGTGGCCACCTGTTGATTGAAATATAAAATTGAAGTCAATGTAAAAGCTAGAACGAAATGTTCCTTACTTTGATTTCTACAACTCTGTTGTCGTTCGGCTTCTTCAAATCATACAGAACTTTTATACCTTTATATTTAATAAAACTACTCCGTTAACCATACCATATAAATAATTGTGGTGGTCTGTGTTGTTTTCATCATCAAAAATAATTACCTGACATCTGCATAAATTTTCCGTGCTTATCAACGGTCGAGTAGTTGGCCACAGAGTGTTCGAAAACTTCCTTTAAGACGACTCCTTTGACGTCTGCTAAAACAAATGGGTCGCTGAAAGGGAATGTGCTGACGATGTCGTTATACGTAACTACACCTGGTTTAAAGATAAATTCCAATAATGAGCTTATAAATCCCGTGATCAAGGCAATCCTTACAACCTTTATTAATACTGCTCCTTAAGGATCCACCGTTTACAAGACCTATGACAAGATTGGGCCATTTTTCTTGAAAGTAGCTGATGATTGCGTCCGTGAACAGGTTTCCTGTACGTGAGTGAAGTTATTTACGTGAGTAATTTTTATCTGACCGAACCAATATTTTTAAATTTACGTGTTTACAGTAAATTTACGTTTACGATAACGATTATATGTTTGCTTGTAAGTGAATGTCCAAAGCGTTAATTCGTTCAAAAAACCGTGTCATTTTTGGTGAAAATAATCAAATTTTCGGGCGCCGAGCGCACCGACTTAAAGGAATAATATTTTCCCCATCATCTGAAAATTTAAATTATCATTCTAACCTTTTTGACTTGTTAAACGTTTTCTCTACAATTTTGAGTTTTGTTTATTTTGTAATTTTTTACAGTTAAGAAGATGATTAAAAAGAGAAGGAGTTGATCATTTAAAATTTTTTAAAAATTCAGTCAATCAATAATTTTGCACAGACAAAAAAATTTCACAAATAGACTACATTGCTCGGGAAGACTTTCATTTTTTGGTACGTTAACACTTTCATGTACATGCGAGTACAGATAAGCATGATTTCAAATAGGGATTATTTCAAATTTTTATTAGCCTTATACCAAAAAACCAGAAAAGTACCTATATTGCACTCTTTAAGACGACATTGGCCTCCGTCTAAGAAGTCCTCAGTTTCTCCGATTTTTCTGCCGAATGTTTCTTTTATTTTAGCGTTCAGCGATGTCAGTTGAGCATCAATAACGGCATCTACGTTACAAAGTTTATATATTTATCAAAGAACGAATAGTTTGGATTAGCTAACCAGTCAGCCAACAAATTCATTCAGTATTTAAATGTTATCAGACTTACCACTTGGAATCGATTTGTCCATTAGAACCGTGTTGCCTTCGAAACTAACTACGTTGCCAGCTTCATCAAATTGAACTGTCAACTTGCCTACAAACTTGCCCATGAACCCAGTTTGAACTACTAAAGTTTTTTTGCCGTTACCATGTTCTACTACTTTCGGATAGCCATCAGTTATTTTGTCCTTAAATTTTTTGACTTGACCTGATGGTTACAAGAAACAACTGATTGATATAGAAAATGCTTCGAATTACATTGCATGCCCAAAAAGTAAATTTTCATAAACAATTCAACCCTAAAATCTTGATTGTTTTGTGTTTCCTCAGATGATTGTTAACAGACCTCTGAGTTATCGTCGTATCAATGGATGCGATAAAGTATTGAAAAGTTATCCTTAGAAACATTTCAATTATTTTTTATACCGAGATAAAAGTAGTTGAAGCTAAATCTTGTCAGTTGAATTTATATCTAAAAAATTTTACTACGAAATATAGTAGGGTCATATTTCTAGTAGAAATGTGTTACTAACCTGCATTATGAAGTAAGGTGTGGCTGTGCCCACCAACTATGATGTCCAAATCTGGCACTTCTTGCGCCATCTTCAAATCATTTTGATAGCCTGCATGACCAACTGCAATAATGTACTTGGCCCCGGAACTAACTGCAGCTTGAACGAGTTCCTTTACTTTACTAACTTCATTTGTGAACTTCAAATTTCCTGCGAACGTAGTTTACGAAAACTAACAATAATTTATTTCTTTTTATTTATTCTTATTTATCAAACCAAGAATTTATTTATCCATATGTACGTATATGTGAACAGGCAAATTTCTCTAAAATAAAAATGGTTAGTAACCTATTTTAGAAAGTTCAGGAACCTTGTCGGTGAGATAACCAATAATGGTAATATTTTTCCCTTTGTAGTTTACTACCGTGAATGGTTTTATACTTTCTAGATAATCTGGCGCCTTTGGTATTAAATAAAATATATTTTTAAAAAGCTGATGATAATCGGTAAATTGCATTGGTATAACTTTTCTATTTTATACACTATGACACGTTGTAAGTTTTACAGTTCAAATTCCATGATTTTCTTTAATAAAAATTAAGTCCTTATTTGAAGTATTTGCTAGCAGTACAAGCAGCGGTTGTATGATGCTGAGTCAAGCAAAAGCTCTCTTCAACTGTTTTGTTTGCAAAAGGATTGACTGTTGTAGAGTGAATGATAGTCATGTGGGATGTAAAATTTTCTTAGCTTGATTAATGTTCCGTTCGTTTGTTTCAAATATAACTCTTTAGCCGGCTTTTAATTTACCTTTAACACACGTGTGAGAGCACATTTTTGCAATTCGTACAAAATTAGAATTCTTGTACCTGCTCAAATAGAAAGCTTCTATAAATATAAAGCAAATATCTGCTCCATTCTTTCAGTTTTTCCATTTCTTTTCATAACTGCTTGCGCTAATTAAAAATAATTACGCACAACATATGAAAAAGGTTTCAAAAGCTTTTCAATATTTCTCAAAAGCGCTACTACATAGAAATAGAGAGCGGATGCAAAGTCTTCTCAAGGGAAGCGCTATACAAATTCAGATAAAGATACATTAGTATTTTTGCATATTACTAACGCTAGATTTCTCAAGATTAGAACAGAGAACAGTGAAAGTAACGTTCTTTAGAAAGTTCCTTAATCCTTCAACTCCATTGTCAAATTCGTGATTTCCTAGAGACTTGAAAAAATTTTTATATCAATAATTTATATTTTTTTTTACAAGTTTACATGTATGGAAACGATGTGAATGCAATTAACTAGATTGAAATTTAATGCAATTAATTCTCAGAGGTTTCCCCAACACAAAGCGCGTGTCGTGTGAATACGCGCAAATCTACGCCTTATACATTGTATAGGTGGATGTTTCTTTATACTAGAACACGATTCATTATTTCCATCTCACCGCCATGGATGTTTGTTATAAATTTAAAGAACTTCTCGAGACATTTAATAATCTTGCATGGTATGACAGCGTTCAAATGTGAAATATGCATGTTTTCAATAAAAATTCATATCTGAAGACATTGTACATACAAAGGACAACTTATAATTTTTAGTTTTGATTGTTTTTCTGGTAAATTTAACTTTGCATAGAAGCTTTTCAAGTAGAACCGGATCGTTATCGTAATAAGATTAAAAGTCAGTTTAAATAACTTTTGAATGACAACTAGGTTCGGGTTAACACAACCAACAAATACAACCGGAGAATGGAAAAATATTTTTAAGTTATAAATACAATTCAGACATTTCAAAACGTCCCTACCATGGCAGTATAATTGAGTTCATTCATGAAATGACTTGAGTCTTCCCCCTTATAGATATAAAACCAAGGACTCCCTGCATGTTGTAACGTTTATGATCCATTTTTATTAAATCACATGCAGATACAATAAAGTTTTCAGTATTTAGTTTTAATGGATCAGTGAGATAATAAAAAAAACTTTACAGATAAGTTATTAAAATTTAATTAAAAATTGCCTATATCCAAAAATGAACTGATGAAAAAGATTGAAGAACCTTGAAACTGGTCACCAGCATCTAATAACAATAACTCTCCCTTGGCTCTCTCTTGTTTAATGAAACTTGCTCTTTTCGAAACACCACCAAAACATCTTTAATACAAAACGTTATTTTTTATATAAACTAAAGTCTAAACTGAAACCGTTTTTTCTAAATTCGACTTTTTCATGACATAAATTAAAACCAAATTGCTCATGTTTCTATATATTTATAATATAAATATATAAATTTTATATATATATATATATATTTATATATAAATTTTATATAAATAAAATAATCATAAAAGTGTCTACTATTTTTATTATTACCTTCAAAAATGCACTAAAAAAATATAAAAGCCCTGATTAATGATGTTGAAATGGTAATTAAATTAATTAACAATGATTAAATTAAATTAAAGGCAAAAAATTTTCATTGAACATAATATCATAAGATTTCAATTAAATAAAATACAAATAGAAAACTAAACATAGTTAGTCAATATATTTTAGTTTAGTGTATATTTAATTTATATTTACACAAAGAAGAATGTAAAATTGTAAATTAGTAGTGAAGTAAAAGAAACAAGAGAAAGGAAAGAGGAAATTCATAAATTGCTAACTCCTGGATTCCATCTTCCGGGCATTTGGCTCCCATGGCAGTGAAGGGCTCAACCCTGGCGTGCACATCGTTCGTGTGCAGGATCGTCATGGACAAACTGGACGTCTGAGCAAACATTCCATCGAAGAAAAAATTTAAGATTAGTACACGGAACATTTTTTCTTATTAACGGAACGAAACGCACCGGTCTTAGCAACGCCGTTGTATTCAAATTTATTACCAAAGACACAGTTTAATTTATTTGAAAAGTATTATCAAATTGATGTGGTCTTGTGGACATATTTTCATATATTTTAGCATTATATAAATATATATATGTTAAAATTGAACTATATCGTCATTTATGAAGTAAGTTATATATATCAGTTATGTATATAAATATATATTACATAATTTATAAAAAATATATATTAAAATTTACATATGAACAATATCAACATATAGTATTGTTACGTCTTTGTGTCTTTGTTTTCATAGCGACTATGATTGAAACTTAATTAAAATTAAAGTTAATCATATGATTTAATTTAATTCTAATATCAACATAAAAATACATGTATATATAAGTTGATATATCAATCAGTGAGCATAGTTTTATAGAATGAAAATAAGTAAATAATTATCGGCCATGGACAGTTTTTAAATCCATCAAGGTCATTTAATGTATTTTATTTTATTTTAATGTATTTTTTGTAATGTATTTTATTGTATTGTTTTGAATTTTATTGTCTTTTATTGCAAAGTATATTTGTTGAGCGACTCTATTGAGTTATCTTTACAAGCGTTTAATTTGATTAATATGAGAATTAAAAAATTTGAAGAAATTGGTTGAGCAAATATTTTTTATTAACCGAAATATCATATCTACATATTCACAAGTTGTAATCACCTATCTACAATGGAAAAACATAAAAAATATTTAAATAACACAAGAATTGAAAATAAATAATTTACATAATGTTAACATTATATACAATATTTACATTTTATACATTATCTATATTTATATTTTTGTTACTCTCATCCTCGTCTTTATGATGAAGAAATTTTCGTAATTGAAAATACGATGAGTTGTGTCATTGACGTATTTTTGTATTGTCATCATCATCGCTCTCTTCATCATCATCGTTGTTGTTGTTCACACTGCTGTTTTAATTGACAACATCATTTTCGTTGTCATAATCACGATACGAGACAAATGTCAAGAAGAATGGCGGTGTGGTAGCGAAAATCACACTGACCACGATGTAGGCAGGTACGAGAGAGTGCAATACGGATCGTCTGTGGATTGGGATCAAGAAGGATCTTCGAACGTCTTCGGAAAACCGGATTTTGGAATCAATGCATTTTTAAGATAATTAAATAATTTTTATTTTGAATTTCCTCTGGAATATTATCTAATTTATCGATGACGTTATGTCCTGATTGTATTAAAAGAAGAATATAACTGAAAATTTTTGAAATGACCAACCTACTAGTGGCTAAACAATATTTTAATTTTCAGTAATTTTATTCTTATTACATTACTATTCCTATCGCAATAAATGACACAGGTCGATCTAATTACAGAGTCTATTAATTTGTTAATAATAATAAAAATAATTATATTAATAACAGTAATAATAAGAAGAAAAGGAAGATAACTAATTCAACTTATTGTTTAAATTTACTGTTTTTCGACTTTGTTAAGGACGGTTCTATTTAGTATTTGGTAAAAAACTCTGGTTAATCAGAAATTTAAAAATTTTAATGTTTCAAACAATTAATTCTTTAACTTCGAACATGACGTTTTCAAATATAGACTGTCAGACTCTGATTTTTTTAAGAGCACACACCACACGCACACATACATACATGCAAGTTTGTATTTCTATTCCTTATAACTTACGAAGAGGTAGTTTTACTAGTTGACGTTAAAAAAAATGAAAAATTTAAACAAATCAAAGAACTTAAATTATGTCATTTATTCGGCAACCGTGGTTGTTGTGGTCACTGAACGTCTATGTCAATGACATTGACGCCTAATTAACTTTATTGCAAAATAAAAATTGTAGACTAATTTCAAATTTGTAACAATGCCTCGCAGGCCGCAAAAAATATCTTCGCGGGCCTCATGCAACCCGCGGGCTCGCCCACCCCTGTGTTTCATCGGGTGTTGAATCAATTTCAAGCAAATTTATGTAGCAAATGGACTTCGTTTGTTCGTCAGTTAAAACGATTAGATTCACAAACATTGATGAATTATATTTATTTTGTGATGGTTTTTGATACATTTACCAAAATTTAATCATTTTCTTCAAAATATTAAAACGAAGCAGAGTAAATCTTAAACTATAAAGAAACCATTCTATGCCCAAAGTAGACATCCTATCTAGAGACTGAGTGCCTGTTCAAATAAAGAGTCAATTCTCTGTATTTTAATTGACTCTCATCAGTCTCATTCGTTTCCTGAAGTTTATCAAAGTTTATGTTTACAATATAATTATCTCTATCATGTGTGAGTGTGTGTGAATGAACAGGTGTGAGTTTACGTGAGTGTTTTTGTGCGCGTGAGTGAGTGTATGTGCTTCTGGCGTGGTATTTCCATAAGATAAGATTTAAAATTTAGAAGTTAGTCAAAGTATTATTATTTTTAAACTTCGAAACAATTTTGAAGTAATAGAATTACTCTTTGAAACATCTATAACCTACATTATATTGTGTTTGGGTATATTGAATTTTTTTATAATTATGTTTTATATGTCGGAACAGTTTAGAAATATTAGAATTACTCTTTATAATGTGTTTGGGTACCTTGAATTCTTTTATTTGTTTAAATCTGCTCATATATCATTATTACAAATTGACACTGGTAATCAGTACAAGAAGTCCAGATTTCTTTTTCGATTTTCAGATCATTTCCTTTCATTGATTTCATTTTTCTGATTTCACTGTTTGATTTGATGAAATAAATGTCAAATACAAAAATACATCATACTCATTTTGCGATATTTTGCTATTAATATATTTTTTATATTCTTTATTTAACAGAAAATTAATTAAAAGTTTTTTATATTCCAATATATTTTGTATTTGTTCTCTTCTACAAAACATTTTCGATAAATTTTCTAACATGGAATCTTCAAACAAAATAGATAGTGGCTTATGAACTATTGTTGACATGTATATGGACCAATTCCAGAAGAATCAACACTCAACTTTGATGACAGCATATACCGAGTTATTGAAACGGGATAGCAAGTATGGGATGACGGAAAAAGAGGTTGACATTTTAGCCAATAATCTGACTTGTGACGTCACTCTCCTGGCTGACCAGCTGAATGAAGTGACCTCAGTTACGGTTGAGCAAGTTTATGATTTAATGAAGGATTTGCAGAAAAGATATTATTCATCCATCGTTGAACCGAACAAAATTCAAAAGACGAATTTAAGTCTTCATAGCTTTGGCGTCCTACTTAAAGGACGAATCGTGCAGGATAAATTCATTGAAATCTTGATTGAATGGATTTAGCTTGCTAAAAAATAATATTCCAAAAAATGAAAAAATACAGATGTTTAAAAACTTACAATACTCCTGAGTTCGTAAAGTAGGAACGCTTTCGACAAATCTCCGTCTTTTCATGTCAACTGACAGACCGAAGTGTGACAAAAAATCGGCACCCAATACATCTTTTGTGACGTTGGCAATGGTAAAATTCCATTGAAACTTACGGCCTAAACCAATATCAATGGTTAGCATTTGTTGGCCAAATGTGTCGATGGAGGTGCCATTTGCTGCTCTCAGTCGCGTGATGTCGGACTTAGGTAGTTAACAATTTTTTGGTGAAAATATAAAGCTCTCACAAGCTCCAGTGTCAACCAAAAACTTTGTTTTAGAAATGTGATCGGTGACGTAAAATTTTGAGGTTGTGATCTGTAGTTTTTTTGACTGTTTGCAGTTGTCTGTCATTGTTTTTGTTTGTTGTTTGAGATTAGTTCATGGAAGTTAAATGGTTTGGACAATATTTGGTAGTTGCACGGCTCGGTGATATTTTTCGTTTTTTTCCCGAATGTCTTGTGATACCAGCCTGGTAAGCGATTGGCGATAGTTGCCAACCTTTGAAGCGCATCATCTATTAAAGGTGCCAAAGATATTTGTATTGCAGGTGGTAACTGGTTCATAAAAAATTGTTTTCGGATGTCCTCGTCTAAATTATGAGTCCTGAACAAGTGTTGCAAATACTTCAGCAGTTGTGACGACGTCCTGTCTTTAATGAACATGCTTAGAAAAAATTTCAAAAAGTTTTCATTCTCTGGTGTTGAATACCGTTGTATCAGCACGTGCTTCAACAAAGTATAAGTGTGCGCTGATGCCATTACTACCTCGATATCGATAATGACGTCTATCGGTAGGCTTTCGAGCAAGGCATGATACAAATCTTTCTCCTCAGTTATACCTCGGCTCTTAAGCACGTTTTCAAAGTATGTGACCCAAACTTTGGATTGCGCAGTGCTGAACGGGTTCAAATTGAGTGAAACCCTCGTTGTTGGTTTCTTTGCTGTAGTTTTAAAATCCATCACGCCGTGGTCACCAGTTTGTTGCGAAATTTCTATCTTGTAGAAGAAATAACAAATGTTTCGTTTATCAATATTTGTACTGAAAATATTGTGGAGCGCTAATTAAATGAATCTCAAAAACGCAAGAACTGAACATAAAACATAAATGAACAAATAAAAAATCATAATGCATTGTAAAGAAATAAATCGAAACTTTGTCATTAACAGAAATTTATTCGCGATGCGATACAGCGGAGAAACAAAGTATTATTCAAAACATGTCAACTTAACAAAACAATTGATCATTTCATTGGTCATTACAATGAAAATAAATTAAAAATAATAATGAATTAAAAATAATAGAGATAAAATGAAAGTAAAATTTATTATATACCTTATTGTAATCAAATAACTTGATAAAAAATATAGAAAACTGGCTATTGATTATGCAAATTAACTAGACAACGAACCAAAGAAATTGGGTATGAGAGTTGCAAGGAAGTTGCGTCAACGTTTCATTGTTTATATTGTAAAAGCCGCATGTCTAAAAAAGAGGGATGGGCGATTGCGTGTGTTTTGATTAACATATATGTTGTGCGGTCCAACACTGATATATATCGATATATATATATAAATATATATTTTGGGTTTAGATTATCATAAATACAATTATTTATATAGATCACCGCGTTTTCGGCATTATTCAACTTGTAATTGAATAATGTTGAACTCAAGTTGAATAATGCCAAAAACTCAGTGATCTTTAAAATTAATTGTATATATCTATCTATATAAGTATATAGAACATACATAATGTATATATTCTATATTTATGCTCAGAATGTTTTAACAAAATAAATTTGGTAAAAAATTGAATTAAAATATGTTTTTTGGTAGACAAAAACTTATTCAGTACAGCAACTTGGCTGCCAATCAGCCGGTTATCGTAATTCTTTGTTCCATTTCCCATCCATTCAATTCCACACCAGAAGCCTGGTGTCCTTATCACACTTCCAACTGAAAGTTTATTAAATATTTCGAAAGTCTTGATCAAAGTATAATTGTAGTTATGTAGTGAGCAAAGAGTGATATAATATGAAAATAACTTTGAACTTGTAAAGGTGCGTTATAAAGAAAAAAGTCGTAGAAAATATTTTATTCACTCTTAAAAAGACAACCACTTTTATAAAACTACAAAACAACATAAATTTTCTTGCGATTTCTTTTTAGTTCCTTTGTTATTGAAACAACTTCCAAGCATCAACGTTTGTGATTGAAGTTATTATGTTGATAATCTCAAAACATGGGTAGATGATGATACCGGTGATAATAATAATGTTGACGAAGATGATTATGATAATTTTGTCGATGTCGATAAATTTGCGTCGTACGCCAACATCAATGGTTAACACTTGTTGGCCAAACGTGTCGATAGGCGTGCCATTTATTGCTAGCAGCCTGTCGATGGACTTGGTAGGTGGTAGTTGACAATTTTATTTTTTAAGAAAAAGGCTTATATCAGCTCCAGTGTCAACTAGAAACATTGTTTTCGAAATGTCATCGGTGACGTAGAAGGTGTGGCTTGGTATGTTGGATGTTGTTGATGTATTGGTCTGTTGTTTTTGGGACTGGTTGCCATTGTCTACCAAAGCCATTGTTTGTTGATGTTTGTTGTTCATGTTTGGTGTAGTAAAACCGCGGCTTATAATCGCGTTTTTTAAGTATGTGAACCAGGCTCTGGAGTGCGCAGTGTCGAACGAATTCCAATTGAATGAAACCCTCGTCGATGGTTTCTTTGTTGTAATTTCGCAAGCCATCAAGCCGTGGTTATCAATTCGTTGTAAGATTTCTTATATTGTAAAAAATAACAAATGATTCGTTCATTAATATTTGTTGTGAAATAATTGTGGAGCGCTAATTAAAGGAATCTCAAAAACGCTAACTAACAAGAGCTGAACGTAACAAAACATAATTGAAATAACAAATGGAAAATCATTGTACAGAAACGAAATTAAAATATTGTCATGAACAGAAATTTAATTGCGATGCGATACAGAGGAGAAACAAAGTAATATTCAGAACATGTCAACTTAACAAAACAATTGATCATTTCAATGAAAATAAATTGAAAAAAAAAATGAAATATTAATAAAGAAAATAAAATGAAAGTAAAATTTATTATATACCTTATTGTGATCAAATAACTCGACAATAAAATATAGAAAAAAACTAGCTATTGGCTATGTGAATTAACTAAAAAAGGAGTCGAAGAAATAGTGCGTGGGAGTTGCAAGGGAAGTTTAGTCAACGTTTTTTTGTTTATAATGATAAAAGCCACGCGCCAAAAATAGGGATGTGCTGTTGCGTGTGCCGCAATCTGAAACAGTGCGGCCCAAACATTCTCAGAACCATATACATAGAACATACGTAATGTGTATACTTTATATGCTCTTAACTTTTATTACAAAACAAAAGAATGAAAAAGTTGAGACAAAAATTTGTTTTTGGTGAACGAAACCTGCTTCAGTAGTAGCAACTTTACTGCCAATCAGCAAATTTTTTTTTATTCGTCCACCAATTAGTAATTATTTCGAATATTCCATCAAAAGTTTAATTGTTACGATGCAGTGTGTTAAGAGTGGTATGATATGAAAATGACTCTGAGCTTGTAAAATGGCTGCATAATAAAAAAATGCCTGACTTTTTCAACAAAATTTTGGTATTCAATCTCAAGCTTGTCATAAAACGTACAAAAATTCTTTATTCAGTTTTATTGGAAAGTTCTCATAAACAAAACAAGCCGTTTAAATAAACTTTTGTACTATCATTCTGTGCTACTGCTACTTAGAAGTGAAAACTGCAACAAATCCTGAAAAATGTTAAAATGTTCGTAAGATGGCAGACCCGACTGATGGATATAATTATCGTAAATGGTTGAACAGTGCTTTAAACAAATTAGCCTAATTCATTTTATAAGTTAAACTTAAATAATTTAGTATCAAAAATATTTGTTATAAATTATAACTTTTTTTTGAGTAAATAAATTAAAAAATGTAGTTGATTAGTCGAATCATGAGAGTGCCTGTAATATGCTATTTCAAAATGGACATTTGGGTTTTTCGACTGATAAAATCCAAGCATATTTCCCTTCAAGTTTCTACATTTTTATGTAAATTTATAACGCCTTGTTATTAATACCTTGTTCAATAGCTGTGTTACAACTTCATAATCAGTCTCTGTAAGGTTAGATTTCTTATTCTGCATGGTGATAATAACAATACTATTTTGTTACTACTACTACTACTATTACTTCTACAACAACAACAGCTACTACTACTACTACTACTACAACAACAAATACTATCACTACTACTTCTACTACTACTACTACTGCAATTACTACTACTGCTGCTAATATTACTAACATTTGTATTGGAGTTGATGATGACGGTTATGATGTTGATGTAAATAATAAAGATGATGATGATTTCATGTTCTTAGTAGTGGTGATAATGATGATTTTATGTTTTTGGTGATGATGATGATGATGTAGATGATCAAAGAGTCGATACAGACGAAAATGAATAACGTTAAAAAAGATTGTAATATTGATTTTTAGATATTCATAACAATTGTAACTAACAACAATATGGCAGATAAATGAGTTAAACAATGATGAGGCTTGTGATGACGGTGGTGATGATGATGACGATGAAGACATTGATGACGATGACGACAATGTATATATCATTCTCCAGAAGCAAATATGACGTCATCATTATTGAATGATGAGGCGCGTGATCCTTTAGAAGTAAATAAACAAATTCAATGATAGAGAACGTGAGCGCCAATAAAAACTCCACTTATGACGTCACGGAGACGCCGGTCCAAAGACATCAAATAAAGTTAATTACATTTTACTCATCTGTCCATCCCTGTTTTATTCCCCACTTTCGACCCGGCCGTGTTTATTTT